GTCTGTTGTTCATAATTAATGTATGGTAATCCATAGTTTAAATGCAAAATAAAATATTTTTAAATTGAAAACAATAAACTAAACAAGTTGATACCAACTGCACCCGCAGCTGTGGTTGCATTCGTATGGTACACCTTGATCATGGATTCTGTTATTGTTTAATTTCTTGTAATGTCATCCTCCTTCTAATTTCTCAATGTTTAAAAAAAAAAAAAAAACAAGTTGATACCAACTAAATAATTAGAAAACACAACTAAATTTAAGCACATCATAAATGCCTTCCAGGCCTAACTCCAAATAATTCTGATGAAAAACAACGAAGGATATGTTGCTAAATCCCAAGGCGTATATTCTAAAACATCATTACGTTTGATATTACATTCCATACAAATCAGATTCCAGCTTATACCCAAATAACCATTACGCTTGCTTGTACGTGTGGGAACATGGCTCATATGAACCCATGGTTCATCATCTTCCTCGGGAATTTTGACTAATAAAATCCACACTTCGGATTTTAAATTCATCAACAAATCCAATAGGTATTTCCTATTTCAAAAAATGTTCAATTTTCTATCTCCACATTTAAAAATTACAAAAAATATATGTTGTTATTAGTATAACAAAAGTGGAGTGCCCACCAGTTGTCGGTTATAATCATTTGATGGATAATAAATAATAAACATCCCTTCTACCTCATATGTATCATCTTTGCCCGGAAAAAATTAATATATATATATATATTTTCACGAGTAAAAACAAAGAATAGACACCATATGACAAAATAAAAATTGAATTATTTTTAAAAAATCTACAACATATATATGTGTTTGAAAATAAATAGATATTAAAAGAAGAACTATCACTATTATTATTTACCATGTAAACTTCATTATCATCATCATCTTCAATGATTATAGGATTGTTCACAGATCCTAAAATCTAATTTACTACAATACAAAAATCAAAGTTGTTTCAGCCTAAGTAACTTGAGAGAGATGTAATCCATGAGTCAATAATCTTCGGAGTAGTGAATGCTTTTTTGGGATTGCCAAAATGCACTTCTATTCGTGTCGTAAAATGGGTAAAGAAGAAAACACTGTTGCTTTTGTATTTGAAATAAATCGATTCCCCATTTGCAATTCCATCTTGCTCTACAATTTCTAACCACCCAGTGGTAAACCAACAATTTTCCACCGTAACAACTAATCTCTTACCAGATCTGTTGACTAGAATTACCTTGCCAATATTCCTAAAGGGGGTGCAACAAAGAATTTTTTTCATTAAAAATTAATAATCCTATTTTTGAGCTAAATGAAAGGGTAATGAGATTAGTTAAAGATCGACCATAAATTATCTCCTATTGTACAATTCTGAATAAAAATGATATAAAATAAGATTATATTCCTTTTCTTTTTAATAATTATATTATCATAATCTATTCTGATAATTATAAGGAAAATAACCCTAATGCTTCATAAATTTCAGTAGTAGTTACTACCTATTATCAAATTCCTACATTTGATTAGTTTAGTCTCAAAAACAAAAATAAGTACCAGTCAACACATTTCATATTATAAAGTTGCATTTTTTCAAAACATCTAATGGGTAATCATGATAAAAAAAAATGACATTTTATTAAAATTTAAACAATATATATAATTATAAATTGTTTACAAAAAAATAAAACAAATACTTTAAATTTTATATACCTTTAAATACAACTAAAATATAATTTTACATTTTCATAAAATTATTAAATCCATAACTCATTGTGCAACGGGGGTCCTTGTTTTTAACTATATGAGGAATAACGAAAATTTCATTTAAACGTAACTGAAAATTACAAGATAAAATACTAGCATTACCAAACTCTTAAATAGGCAACAATTGACCATTACCAACTTAGACAAAATCATGACCTAGAAGATTGAATGAGATTACTAAAACTATTAGTAACATAAGTAGAGTTTCCTGTGTCAAAATAGCAATTGGTATTGGTTGAAGAAAAAGAAGGTGCAAAGTGCAATCCAACAAATAAAGTTTGATGATGAGGAATCACATATGCAATACTGAAGGATGGAGCAATTCATGATTGACTTGACAACAAAATTAACGAGAAACTATTGGTGTCGAAATAAAAGGAGTTAAATTGTTCTCCTTTATAAAATTAATGCCATAAGGAATATCTATCAT